ATATTTTTAATAGATGACTCTTCTGTCATTTTCCAATTGGATGAATACAGTTGAATCTTGAAAATAATTACTTGTTTGAAACCACTCTACAACAGCCTCTGATCCATGTCAAACAAATCCTTGTGGAGTTGGTACCTGTTTCCGTAGTAGTGGTAGTACCGGTGACTATTTTTGTAGTTGCCCATCAACGCATACCGGAACCGACTGCCAGACACTTCTAGGTAAAATATAACCTATTTGATAACCTATTTGTATTTCATTTAATTTTTATTTCAATTATAAACAAGATTAAATGCAGAGACCATTACATGCAAATAGACAAAAGAGCAATCATCACCCACACAATGAGATTACCAAAAAAGTCACTTAGATTTGGTGAGTGTATGAGGTTGAAAATGATAGATTTAAGAATATAGGCACAGTATTATAATTATATAATACTGAAATTACATATTCGTTATAATGGATAATAAATAAACAGCAATAACAAGAAGGAATTTTAAACATTGGTTACCACCATAATATATGAACTTTAAAAGATTTCTATGATGATTACTGTTATAACACAAATTCATTGGCTGTTGACTGGAACTAACATGGACATTGACATTGGTTCCACACCTTATTTCATATAATTTATTAATAGAATGCCATAAAAATGATATATAATATTTTTCTCTGTAGATTCAGATCCATGTCTCATAAATCCTTGTGGAGTGGGTACCTGTTTTCGCAGTGGTAGTAGTACCAATAACTATTTTTGTAGTTGTCCTACAACACATAGTGGAACCAACTGCCAGACACCAGTTACAGGTGAATAAAAATTTATTTATTATTTCCATCTATTCATCCATCCAATTAGTACCTCGGCCATTCAACTCACCTTACATACAGTAGTGTTGACTACATGGCCGTACAGTACCCCCCCCCACCCCCGTCATCAACTGCCATTTCTAAGTTATAATCTATTGGTATACATAATGAAAATGTTTAATTACAACTGTTAGTGTTAGATACACATCACATCGTGTATTTAGATTTGATTGGATGTTATTGCAACTCTTGCTCTATGATAGGTGGATGTAATCCCAATCCTTGCCAGGCTGGTGGAAACTGTATAGCTTCTACAACAGGATTCACATGTGTCTGCCCAACTGGCTACAGTGGAATCAACTGTGAAAATTACAGTAAGACATTTGAATAATGTATTCTTATTGCTTAAACAACTGTGAAAATTACAGTAAGAAATGTGAATAATGTATTCTTATTGGTTAAACAACTGTAAAAAATTACAGTAAAAAAAAATGGATAATCTATTCTTATTGGTTAAACAACTGTAAAAATTAGAGTTAAAAAATTGGATAATCTATCCTTATTGGTTAAACCACTGTGAAAATTACAGTAAGAAATTTGAATAATCTATTCTTATTGGTTAAACAACTATGAAAATTACAGTAAAAAATTTGAGCAATGTATATTGGTTAAACAACTGTGAAAATTACCATTAAAAATTTGAATAGTCTATTCTTATTGGTTGAATTATTTTGGGGTATTTTTTAGTTTAAAATTGTCATTTACCATGATTAAGCTTTGTCCACACTGTTGTATAAAATAATGTGTCATATGCCCATATTTGGGAGTAATATGCCCATATTTGGGAGTAATATGCCCATATTTGGGAGTAATATGCCATCATCATATATGGGCACATCACACAAATTTGTCACATATGTGTGATAGTGTAGACAGAGCATTAGACTGTATCCTATCCTAAGACAATATCTATACACCAACAGGGTGGAGTCACCAGGACATTAATGTATTTATAATAAAGTTGAAGGAAAGTGATACATATTTTTCAAAATATTGACAATAATATCTACCTTTTAAAATCCTTAGATATTCATGTTTCTCTTTCTCTTCATTTGTGGTACAATGTTTTATGATATTCCATTCCTCCTTAAACCTGAATTTTAATGATTTACTTTTATCTTTTACATGTTTATCTATAACTATGCTTTTAATATATGTATGGTGCTCTGGTCTCTTTTGGAAGGGCGCCTAATAAAGTGACTCAATTTTTATTAATTATTAAAAGAATGATATATACCAACGATTTGATAAAAATTTGTATCATTTTCATTCAACATTATCTGTAATAATCCTTGAGTAATGGATCCGGCTAAACCTTTCAGAACTGGTTCCGAACTACCTCATTCCTCAAAGATCCCATTCCTCAAAGCCTCGAACCCAGAGGTCCCAAGTTAGAAGAAGCCACCCCTAGGATATCTGTTCAATTGAGCTTCTTATAAGCACTGGCTTCCGGGAAACACTTGATAATACAATAGTAACGTGACTTTGGAAAGACCATGGAGGTATTTTATACCTCCATAGAAAGACCTACCCCAGTTTTAATCTGTTGAGACACTTCCATGTGGCCCAGTTGTTATCGGTTCCAGGAAGATGTTCAGCTTTTATTTCCTTCGCTAAATGCTGTGGTAGATGTTCTTCCCATAAGGTGCTGCATCAATACCAACCACAAGTTGTTATTAGACACTCATTTGAATCTTGTTTTTTCATAGATCATTGTTTAAACAATATTTGTCGGAATGGCGCCACCTGTGTCTCATTGGTAACTGCAATTGGCTACACCTGCACTTGCCTTTCTGGTTACAGTGGTACTTATTGCGAAGTTTCTTCAGGTAAGTTAAGCAGATTATTTTTCTATCAAAGTGTGCTAAATTAAATATCTGTTAAACATTTTGGGGATAATGGAATAATTGTAACAAAGGCTGCTTCACTTGACTGAAGTGTAATAAACTTTATAAAAAGTATTCTATTCAGATTCAAACATAAACTTCCCGATTTTACTAAAATATATTTTATCTTTGGGGAAGTAGATCCATGCCTCGCACAGCCCTGCAACAATGGTGGTATTTGCACTGGAAGTTCAGGTGGATATACCTGTAGCTGCGCAAGTGGATACTCTGGAACCAATTGTGAGATTTTTAACGCTGGTAAATATGTTTTTTTTTTTCCTTTAATTGTCTACATATTGCCATTTCAGAGTAGAACAAATGGAAATGTGTGACAGCTGTGCAGTTTTATATATTTAGATCCTTGCCCTTGCATGAAGGTATTAGCGTGGTGGTTGTCAGGATGATGGTGATGATAATAATGCCGACGACGATGATGATGAGGATGTTGAGGATGAGGATGATGATGTTGAGGATGATGATGAGGCCAAAAAAAAAATGTTTGTTTGCCCTCCTCCACCCGCCCTTAACTCACTGAAAAAAATAGGGGCGGAAAAACAAAAAAACTTAAAAGGTTTTTTTTTTTTAGCTTTTTTCATTACATATAAAAAAATGAGTGAATTTAACTTTTTTGCCAGATGCCCTACAACTTAGTCTAAAGTTATTTTTCTGATGTAAGATATTGCCATTCTAGGCCTCTGTGGGTTATATTTATGCCATCTGATGAGTATCTTAAAAGAAAAAAAAATTATCATTTTTAAGTAAAGGTCAAACTTATTTTTTTGGCCTGATAATGTTGAAGATGATGATGATGTTGAGGAATATGATATAATGATGGTATTGGTGATGGGAATGATGAAGAAATGATGATGGTGAGGATGAGGGTGATGAGAAGAATGAGTATGATAATGGTGAAGAGGGTGTTGGTCATGATGGTGATGATAATAATGAAAAGGATGAAAATGGTGATAGTGATGATGATGAGGATAATAGTGTTGATGTTAAGGATAATGATGTGGCTGATGCCGAGTATGATAAGGATGATAATGAGATGAGGAAGATGAGGATGATAATGATGATGACTATGATAAAATGACAATCAGGATAATAATGATAATGGTGGTAAATATGAAAATGATGATCATGATAATGATGACAATGATGATGATGATGGAAATGATAAAATGATAATTATGATAATAATGATGATGATGGTGATGATATAAAGTTTGATAAGGATTGTGATAAGGATTGTGGGGATGAGGATAATGATGAGGATCAATGAAGATCGATGAGGAGGATGGTAATGATCATAATGGTAAACTACACTGGGCTGTGTAATTTTTTTCTATATTTCAGATCCATGCTCTGTAAATCCCTGTTTGTCTGGGGGTACATGTTTCCGAAGCTCTTCTACCTCTGGTTACTATTGTGACTGCCCACCAAATTACTCAGGCACAATTTGTGAAACATTCACTCCAACAGGTAAGGTCTGATTCACTTTATTTAGTTGAAATTTGTAATTTAACTTTATTTCTTAGCTCTCTGTGTCCACACTATCAAATGTCATGTGACAAATAAGTCACCATGGTAATGTATGGGCACACCACACAAATTTGTCGCTTAAGATCTCATGGACAGAGAATTAGACTTCTGGGGCAGATTGCTATAAAATGGTCTTACCTGTAGTCTGAACTTGAATAAAGCCGGCTTTATCACTTAGACGGTCTTACTAAAGTCACTACTCTGCTGAAGACCATTGCTATAAAACGGTCTTCGCTTAGACCGCTTTGAGTATTGAAACACAAACGAGCACTCCCTGGTAACATAAAATTGAGTGCGCTGCTACGCTTGTTCAAACATGTGTATTTATCAAAATGAATGTAAATAAATGTAGACCGGTTTTTACAGATGCTGAGAAGCTTGCGAAATATTCATCGTTTGATTCTTAGTCTTTGACGATCTAGGTCTAGTACCTGTAACACCATGATGAAAATGATTTAAGACCGTTTTAAGCCTCCTCTGACTAGGCTTTAAAATTTAAGACTGCTAACTGGTTATACCGCGGTATAGCAATGGTCTATAATCATAGACCAGTAGTGACGTCACAATTAAATCCGGCTAAGCGTTAAGACTGTCTAAAGACTATCTATAGAAATCTATATAGCAATTGTATATAATTATCTAAGAAAGAGATGATTTACTCTTCAGAAGAAATGGTCATACGACAAGGTCAAAGGACAAGGTCAAGGTCACAAAAAAAATTCAATTCATTCCTTGAACTTACCCTCGAGCATAAAAAAAATAATAGAATCACCCATTACACGGCCTGCATATTGTTTGGTATCCAGGCACAGGGCAGATGTATGCACTCATAAACATCTTGATTATTCTTGAAAAAATTTATCTGGTCTTATAACTTTATTATTAAATATTTTCTTTTAGTTACACTAATAATAATTTAAGCTTACGACTTGCGACTACTACAGCGAGCCTTTATGATGTTAGGTTGCTTTGACCTTTGACATTACTTTGATAAATAACAGCATCTCTTGAAGATTGTTTGACAGAAATTCTTGGTTATTATCATTGTTATAGGTCCCTGTGCACCAAATCCTTGCAGCAATGGAGGTACATGTGTACCGTCTGGTTCCGTCTATGTCTGTCGTTGTCCGACCAACTATGTGGGCGTCAACTGTCAGACATTTAACCCTTCAGGTAAATACAAATGAATATGCAACAATATACCTGGAAGCCTTGGAAGTATGCAACAAGATTAGAGTATTGCCATGTAACATCTTGAATATTCAATATCATCATGTAAATTTATGAATATTCAATAGTATCATCAGCAACACACATGAATATTTAATACCATCATAGGAGTGATGTTTTTCCCTACCTGACATGTTATCGTACTGAGTACTTAGTACATCCCCCAAATACTTGTAAAAAAAAATGTTGCATGTGATTAGGGCAGGAATCGAACACACTACCTCTAGATAACTAGCCCGGTGCCATAACCACTGGACTACCGAGGTTGCGCTTAGTGACTAGTGATGAATCCAATCACAAGCAGCAGCGGGTACTGCAAATGCTATTACAATGTGAGTTTGCATCAGGAAAATATCACATAGTGAAGTTTTGCCATACCTGATGTGTTATCGTACCGAATACTCAGTACGTCCCTAAATATTTGTGAACAACATTTCGCAAGTGATTCGGGCACACTACAATTTTTTTTTTTCACAAGTATTTGGGGACGTACTTAGTATTCGGTACGATAACACGTTAGGTAGGGCAAAACATCACTCCTATGATATTTTCCTGATGCAAACTCACATCGTAATACCATCACGTAATATTATTATGTAACATGATAAATATTCAAAAGTATTTCTATGTAATCATAAAGATTCAACTGTATCATCATGTGATATCAATATTCAACAGTATCATCATATAATATCACAACATTGTCATCTGTTTAACATGAATATTCAATAATATCATCTGTTTAACATGAATATTCAATAATATCGTCATGTAATATAATGCAACATCATGTATATTCATCAGTATTTCTATGTAGCATCATAAATATATATCATCATGTGACTGCAACATTAGCAACATTTTATTGTCATTGTTATAATATTTGAATTTTCAGATCCATGCATACCAAACCCATGCCAAAATGCAGCTGCATGTAGTGCATCACCGACTAGTGCGATTGGCCTTGTCTGTACTTGCCAACCAAACTACTTTGGAACATATTGTGAAATCTTCAACACACCAGGTATACATTATATTATAAAATAATTTTCCTGCAATAATTACCCACATATTTAATTATATTTAATAAATGTTTTGCATTCTCTTCTTATTTTCAGTTCACTCTATTTTGCTTTTATAACTATTTTGAAACCTCTCTTAGTGACAATTTTAT